TGAGGTCCCCATCGCACCACTGACTTTTTTGTCTTCTTATATTCTCTGTGGTAATTCTATGCTTCCTAGATTTCCATTAATCAAGTGCTTCATAAGTTTGTCAACTGCAGTTTCACATTTGAAGTTTAAACTCTATGATTTGTCCTACCTAAACTATCAGTACCTTGTGTTAGGTAGAATGTAGGGCAATTAGTAGGAGTGATAGTTTTTGACATTTGGTTGCAAAAATGATCAGATTTTAGTAATGATAGCATATTGATCGTATATTGATGACTTAATGATAGCATAACAAAGCATACAATGATGATATAATAACAACGTAATAAACACTACTATTTTTACAACTAAATGTAAAAAACGGATCATACCTGCTAATTGTCCTAAACTATATTCTAGCTCTAGCTCTGTCAATATGCATGGCTTTTACACACACGCACACACATATTAGGATAATGTCAAGGAGACTAAATGACAAAATTTTGTAAACTAAACGAAATGAAAGTTGACTATTGGATTATTACTTAAGCGTTAATGAACGTGCTCATTCCTATTGGTGACACATTATTCAATTTGTAAATTTTGTCTACAAATTTAGTCTTCCTATCATTACCCATATATATATATACATGTGTGTGTGTGTGTTTATATAATTTTGTTTCTTAATTTTCTTGATTCAGCAAGATGAGGATGACAAATGAAAAGATACAAGTAGCAAAACCATGCGAGACAACTTGATGAGTGTGACTCCTTATCCATAAAAAAAAATATGGGATCATGAAACAACACTACATATAGTTAATCCATTCTAACAGTTTGATATCCATCATCTTAGAAGGATCCAGCTCTTAGAACAAAACAGAAGAGGAACAAGATCATACACGCATCTATGCATACATTCATATTTCATACTTGAACGAGTGCATGATAATTTATGCGAATTTTTTCCGACTCCCCTACAATATTATGAACACAATTTAATATATACAGCTCAGTGTAAAGTTGTACCTACTCCTACCGTTGATATAGCATCTTAGTGCCATGCCAACAATTTTTTTATCATTTAAGATTTATACACTTGAAATTGTGTAAGAAGCACCTCCTATTCTTTTGGGAGAAGGATTCTCTCCCCTCTTTTTATTGAATCTCACATCAGCAGTAGTAAAAAATAAGTAATAGTTTAAATATCATAACTGCATTCTAACTAACACCGAGATATTTTGTGATAAAACCCCACACTTGATGGATTATGTAGGTGGTAATTACCAAGTTGGGGACAATATCGGTGTTGTTGGAAGTGGGCTGTATGGCTCGCCTCTCTGATAATTCTACATGGTATCAGAGTTAGGGAGTGGAGTCGTACTGTACTGCCACGTGATGGGTTGGGGGAGGGGGCGTGTTGAATCCCACATTGGTTGTAGTAAAAAATAAGTAATAGTTTAAATATCCTAACCCCACTATAACTAACACCAAGTCTTTTAGTGATAAAACCCCACACCTGACAGATTGTGCAGGTAGTAATTACCAAGTTGGGGACAATATCGGTGTTGTTGGAAGTGGGTCGTATGACCCATCTCTTTGATAATTCTACATTTTTTCCCTCCCCTTCCCTCCCTTTCCCTCCACTCCTATTTTAACTGTCATGGTTAAACCACGTCAACATCTTATATTAATTTTTTATAAAAAAAGAAAGACAAAATAAAAAAATGTGAGAGGAAGGGATGAAAGGGGATGAAAAGAGTAGGGGATAGAATCCTAGTGCATCCTTTTGGATGAGTTTGCCAGTTGCCACCAAAAACTTGAAGCTCTATTCTGGATGAGTTCGCCACAAAAAACATTTTGCAGATAAGTACATTTTGGTCCTTTGGATTGGTAGGATTGATCCTTGATCCTGCATCACTATCTGTGGGCCTAAAGATATGAACATGTATTAAGTATCTGATGTCATCTTAAATGGATTTTAACTTTTGGTTAGCCATAAAGGAGTAAGTGGGCCTAGTGTTTTCTGCCTTTTCACTCTTCCTAATGAAATTAAGAATCTTAAAACACATTGTATATAGTTCAAGCATTTGACATTGAACACTTTAATAACACGTTTACTAATTCGTAACCTGGCGAGGAAGAACGGGTTTGAGGAGTCAGGATTCAGATTTCATTGAAAGATGTATGATCAACTATCCAAAATCGGAGTAAGATGATGCTGATTTTATATACACATGATGGTAAAGGTAGCAAAAAGCGCATACATTGTGTATGATATACAATAATACGTACATGATTGCGATGGGGTTTTTTGTGATCTTTTGGCAAGGATAAAGATGACATATTTGGTCACTATACATCTTAATGGCTATGAGGTACAAAGAGGGTCCAACACATACCCAATTTCTTGGACCACCATGCATTCCAATGGCACGAAAGGCAGATGGTTTGGTTTCCTTGTGCCACACTCTACTCGTTAATTATTGAAATTGGTTAATTGAGCCAACTAATCACTGGCCTTTGTGTATATGAATCTGTTTCACCAAGGCCTCCATTATATTGGGTTGGGGATGCCATGCATTTAAGCTTATCCAGAAAGTAACATGGCCCTACTCTTATCACAATACCTGTGGCCAGATGGTACCACTTTTCTGGGTTTTCTTTCTTTCTTTCTTTCGTTTGCTTTCATTCAACATTGTGATATGCAGTTATCCATTTCAACACAATGGGTTTTTCATGTTCTATATGCACAAAAGTGGATATGCCTTATCATCCTACTCATGGAAGAGAGACACCACATTTATGATCTAACATTCTAATGACACCACGGGATCTCTCGAGGAAAATCTCGAATTGACAAGATATGGAACATAGGAATCGCTAGATATTTGACCAAATAGGATCGTCTAGCATTTAACGTATCAATAAAATACCATAGAAGGTTGAAGTGAAAGAGGTTTATGTAGGACAACAGTTATCACACTCTATATTAAGTATTTTATAGTTTTCCACAATAACAATAAAAGTGTTGCAAGTCACTCGAAGAGTGCCAAAATTCTTACACAAAAATAACCATAATTAGTAAGCAGTCTATTGCATAGTTTATGAATGGCCATGCAGCATGGCCTTTGAGATTGTAATGCCACATATTCTTTTTGTTGATAAGATATTAAGATTATTGCTACATATTGATAAAACCATATCCAGAAAACAATTGGTCTTGCATGTTGGTCCTACTTGGCTCAATATACGCAACAACGATCACATGCATGCATATCCTATGATTCCCATCGTCTTCTTGATACTGTTTAAGCAGTACTAGATTGAATTTGATTCGAAGATTAAGTTTGAATTATGTCGAATGAAATGACATGTAACTAATAATGTTAACCAACTTGAATTGAATTGATCAGCATGAAAATATGAATAGATTCACAACGGCTCACAATTTGAACAGATTTAGGTGATAAGAGATATACTAATATAAGAATATAACCAGATAATATTATTCGAATCTAATTATTAATATATTTCTCCTTTTTATTTTTGAGTAGGACGAAAGGGTTTGCTTATACAAATAATTGAAGGTTCTCTCACTTATATCCATTTATTAGATGATTAGTTATGTCCCTTTCCCCCCACTCCACTACGTCATGAATCATCACCAACCATAACAAATACTTGAATATAACCACTGCATGCATGTCTTTCATCTTGGCCATAATTGGATGTTTTATCCTCTAATTAGCATTGGTTGTAGCATCCTAATCGGATTGATTAAATAGTAGTGCAAATTTGTTAGTGATGACACATCAGCAAAAATGCAGGATCATATACGTGATAAATTGATTCGAAAGCGCTTGCAACCACTTTTGACTCTCAATTGATTCGAAAGCGGCATCAATCACTATATATACTGACTAATGAAGATTGATTGATTACTATAAAAATAAATTAACACATAAAGGAGGAGGTTTTGATATAAAGGAACTAAATTTCGTAAGATTCTTTCTCTCATGGGAAAATACACACATAACACCTCATACAAATAACTTATCTTCACCGTATATATTTGATAATCAAAACCGTTCAATTTTTAATCTTTATTTAAAGATTGAATTAGAGATTTTTTACGCATCCAAATGTATAGAAAGAATTGACAATATGAGTATCAATTGACATTTTCATGATGAACCGTTCATTTATTTGATATATTTGAATGACTAACTATCTTCGGTTCAAATGATTTTTTTTGTTTTTTTTTGGTTTTTTTTTTGTAAGAATGATATTCAAATGAAGATTAAAAAATTGAACAATTTCGATTAGGAAATTTATATAGTTAAAATTGGCTACTCGCAAAGAGTGAAATATGTGCATTTTCGCTTTCGCCACGAGGATGCAAGTATTATCCACGAAGATTTGTTATCTGTCACCATAATGTCATTGTTAAGACGGTTCCAAATCCTCATGTTCTAACATTTGTCCATCTTTGTCAATTGCCACAAGGGGACCATGGGCTCAACCACCCAAACCCAAAATCCACCTAACACACAATCTTTCTTCGAGTTCAGGTATGGGCTAGAGCCCCTAGTTACACCCGAATTATCCTCTAGAGTTACACTGCAACGATTAGTCACCCACAATCAGGTATCGAACTAACTACAAATACGTATTGTTCAAACAAATCTGAGACCCTCTTCAAAGAAAGCAGAGACAACTACCACTACACTGAAGAAATATGAAATTAGTTTCGTAATTTTGAAAACTTAAACTGCAAACTTAAACCTGGCACAAAACTAGAAATTTTAAGTTGGAGGTTGAGTTGAAGCAAAAGCATATTACCAAATGAGAAGTAGCCAACTATTAATCCTAATTGATTCCATTAGTTTCTTCCGTGTGGCTGTAATTAACTGTAGTGGGTCTAATATGATGACAACCTTTTGCTTGAATCCGCAACACCGTTGCTGCTGTTACTAAACCACGTGTTATGTTTACGCGGATTTGGAGATTATACTTTGGGATGCAAATATTAACACACTCAGGATTTTACTCAAAATTGTCTGTCAATACAAAAACATATGATGGGCATGACTGTTCTCGTGTATCCTAAACAACATTTCTCAGTTGACGGTATTACTACATCTAAACAATTAGTAAACGGCGGCCAGCCTTCTGCTTACGGTACAAACAGCACACCTGATTCAGTGGCGTCTTCATTCACTAGGATGCGTGCCTGCCAAGAACAAGCATATTGCTGAGCAAATATATGACAATGACAAATTGACATACAAGGGACTATCGGAAACCAACGAGAAAGTAAATTAACATAAAGCCCTTCCCCCTGTCAAATACAATCTTTTAAGAAAAATAAAATTGTACACTGCATCGATGCATGAAACGGCTTGTGTTTGCCTTACCGTTTACCTCCTCAGGCTCCTCTGAAATTATCTGCACGGAAGAATCAGTTGAGAATCCCAACTTTATCATGACTTCTTCTAAACGTTCCATATTTGTCAGGTAGAGATAACCAAGCTACATAACATGCAGGGTCAGTTTATGTTAAAAGGTCAGAATCACGGTCCTGGATAGTGAATTATGAGTTGCTTAGAGGATGTTAAATTTAAATAAGCATGTAGGATATTAACATGCAGATTGCCATCACGAACATTCTTGATTATTCCAAAAAAAAAACCCCTACAATTCATACACATGCATGTGTGTATGTGCATATTCTATCAATGTTATGTACGTGCATAACAGTCAGATCCCAAGATTTCCTGCATTTGTGAACTGTACTATGTGAAAAACTCAGAATGTCAACGTTCTTTAGGCCTAATAAGTAATAGCACCGTCTCCCTGAAGAACAATGGTGGTTTATTGCCCAGCCAGCGTTCTTAAAGATTATGCTGGATAAAATGGGGAAAACAGTCTCATATCATAGAAATTCTTACATGTGTAAGCATGTATTTTTTGGTTCAAATGGAATATCAACAGGAACTTGACAAATGAACCAGCAGGGGTTTCATTGTCAGCTTCCTTTAAGAATCCACAAGTATAAAATTCCAAAGATGAGAGTGAATATAAAACGTTCAAGGAAACAACAAGGTCCAAAGGCACTGACCAATGCTTCCAGTGAAGATGCTCTGTTATAAGCTGCTGAACCAGCGCGCTTTTTTGTTCGTGTTTTAGCTGAACCGATATTCTTTCCCCACCGGAGAACATTCCTGAAGCAAAAATTATCAAATGACATAAGTCAACATAACAACTACTGCACTTGAAATATATATTATTCCAGTATCAGAAGTTCCGCAGACTTTTGGCAGCCCTCCACATAATGAAGGGATGACATAGAAGGGATCCTGCAGTTATGCTTGATTCATTGAAAGATGATAGTTCTGATATGTAGCACCAAGGGAAATATAACTGAGCACAGAATATAATCTACTGACCTTTCTTCTTCTGATAAAAAATCATCACTCAGAAGTTTCCGGAGCAGTGCATCCTGAAATGCAAAGACAAACTTTTTAATAGCTCCTTTGAAAAGTATGTTCAACTCCAATCTATATAAGAAAAGAGCACTTCAGCATGTAAGAACTACAAAAAACCACATTTGAAACAGAAAAGAAAGGCACCTAGACAGCTAGTGAAAGCAATAGATATATGTCAAATTATTGGCAGCTGAAACAGAACGGAGTACCACATTTTATTATTTACTGTCCACAAGAATATCTGTGGGACATTTTTTTTTTTTGAGAAGAAACGATGTCTACAAGAATATCTATGGGACTTAAGTTATGATGATTGATGACTGGTGCTGGATTGCAAGTTCTCAAAACAATAATGCATTTTCCTTCTTATTTACTCATGAAGGTGTGGAACATAAAGATTACCACTTACAATGTAGTTCATGTGTAGTTCATTAGCATGAGTGAGCACAGGACAATAAAAAGTTAAAATTACATTAACAAAGCAGAACCACATTAAACAGACACACATCAGCACAGAGGAAACAAAATCCTCATACCACTATGATATTGCCTATTTGACACAAACAATAGAACTGTTAAGAATATATCATACCTGTGCTTCACAACGCACAACTGCCATCACACGATCATTATATTCTTCAATATTCAGGGGAGGAAACAAAAAATGCCTGCGAGCATATAGCTGCAACAGAAATAGTGATAGTGAGCCATATAGGAAGTTCAAACTTCAGAAGTATAGTAATTATGTCAGTTATTATACTGCAACTAAGCAGCACCAAGGTATATGTTTTTCTCTCGTGCCTTCCAAATGATGAAAATATATGCATTCTGATTACTGAACATGGCATAATTTAGACCTTTTACACTCGAATGTTCATGCACGGGGTGAATTGTTGAGCCATTTCACAATTATACATGACTTGAATATTGGTCGGGTGCAGTTCACTATAAGAATACAAAATGGCAGAAATATAAGTTGAAACAGAAACACACCTCGTAAATGCAATCACCGATATAAGCTAGCGATGCCGCATTGAGTACAGACCGAGGCTTCTGTACCTTTGGTGGACTAGGCAAACGCTTCTGTACCTTTGTTGGAGTAGGCGACCATCGCTCATAGCCCAAGTATAACTCATCCTTTTGTACTGTTTCCCCTACCAAAATAATATTGCAGAACACCATTACCATAATGCTTCATAGAAGAAGAACAATACTAAAGTTATTTTTGCCATGTTTATATAAATTCAGGAGAATTATATACACAATCCTACAAAACAGAAATATATTTTTAAAGATCCATTAAATCGTGCATAAAAAGCTATTTTTCCATCCAAGCAAACGAAAAAGCAGCATAATACAGAAAACTGAAAACCCAATTTTCATTCACTTTCCTCAGTTTTCACGACAATTAAACGTTACCAAGCAAACAAAACAAAAACTTCAAGCACTCACTAAAATTTTCTCATTTTCTCTTCAATTTTCTCAGTACTTAAGTGAGAAACTCAAACCAAACATTTCCCATAATCCTAACGGAGACTAAGTTTTCATTTCCCATAATCTAAACAACAAAACCCACAAAAATTAAAAAACTTTCCCACATTTTCTCACTGTCTGCTCAATTTTCTCAGCAACCCAGAAGCATACAATCCAAAAATTTGCAAAGCAAAACAAACCCAGATGAAAACGAGCAGTCAATAACAACTGGGGAATGTAAATAGTAAATACCTTGAGGTGTGCGTTTGAGGAGGTCAACAACGGAGTCGGCCGTTCGGGTAGTTGTGGTGGTTAGTGTGACGGTTGGAGGGGGTTTGGCGGTGGCGGGGCTTTCGCTTTTCTGTATCTTTCTTGGGGCGTTGCGGTTGTATGAGAGTCTTTGCTGTGTATCCACGGAAGCTCTCACTGTCACTACTCTCGCACTCATCGGCGGAAAAGCCACTGATAGAGTTTGCATGCTTGCTCTTTTCCTACCTCGGCTCTGAGAGTGGTAGCTCCGCTCGTCCGACTCCCAACGAATTGGGATTTTCTCATTTCACTTATCGTAATTAGGGTTAAATTACATTTAGGTCCCTATGTTTTAAGAATTGACCCTTCACTACCCTAAAGGTGCTTATTTTTTTTTCCCAAGTACAAACGATATTGTAACACTAAATTACAAACCATGAGGATGAGAGAAGAGTTTGAGCCCGGGACACTGTTTGTTAAAAATGAATGTTTTAAGACATTTCACAGTAGTTTGAGTGAATGTGATATCTTTATGTCGGAATCAGACAATCTGAATTTAATACATATGACACTACTATTACACTAGTGTGAGTTCAATATATTAACACTTATGAATTTAATATATTAAACTCTTGAGTAATGTATTAGTATCACGCTCAAAATTTTCCAACCTTACAAAAGTGTGGTTGATATATGAGTTGTTTGTACCATACTTGACCAATCCCGAAACTACTGAGCACCGGTCAACGTTATACTGTCAAGGACCCAGAAGAGTTTCCCTCTAACCAGAAGGCCAATTACAGCGCGACACGTGTCGACATTAGAAGCCAATCATAGCGCAACACATGTCAACATCAGAAGTCAATCACAACACACGTGTTAATGTCAGAATGAAACTAGAAACTCTCTTCTATAAATAGAGATCATTCTCTCATAATATTTCCTAATGTCATTTGTACTAAATCATTCACTAGTACTCACTAAATGAGAGCTTGAACCTATGTACTTGTGTAAACCCTTCACAATTAATGAGAACTCCTCTACTCCGTGGACGTAGCCAATCTGGGTGAACCACGTACATCTTGTGTTTGCTTCCCTGTCTCTATCCATTTACTTACTTATCCACACTAGTGACCGGAGCAATCTAGCAAAGGTCACAAACTTAACATTTTCTGTTGTACCAAAGTCCTCACTGATTTTGTGCATCAACATTTGGCGTCGTCTGTGGGAACGACACTTATTCCCACTATCTTCAGCTTTGTCAAGTTGGTTTCCACCATTCGTACACTCTTTTTTGACCAGGCATCCCTCTCCAACATGGGGAGTGAAGGAAGCCACAACACACATAATGACACCGCTCTTGCACCTAGTGCGAAGCAACGAAAGAAGGAAAGAAAGAGGGTTGCTCTTCAAGCTAAAGTCGATGAGCTAGAAGCTCAGAACAACAAGATAGCAATGAAGAATGAGGTCCTCCATGAGTAGTATGAAAAGCTATTTGAGACGCTCCACGAAACTAGGCGTACTCAAACACGCGAGCTCGTTGCCTCTGTGGACATCAACCATCATCTGGGTGCCCTCCAACACGAAGGGTCACCTTCCTTCGACATGGGTATCCCTGATGAAGAACGAGCTAATCATCAAAACATTGATCAACATGAGACATCTCTCAACCCAGCTGCTTCGACCCAAAGCAGGAGAAGTGGAGGAAGACACCTCCTTGCAGAAGGGTTGGAAGGATCGAAAGTCATTTATCGTGACTATTGAGACTTCCTAAAGTAACGTCGAGAGAATCCCCTCCACATATGCTCGAAGATCAATGACCCAAGGGTTTCTGAAAGACTCGATCCCCTCCCACGACCCAAGCCAGCTGCCAATCTAGGGAAGGAACGACAGGTCCTAGAGGAACATGAAGGTACATGAGACTCTAAGGTATTCTGACATACTCCCCCTAGAAGTCAGTACGGCGAGTCCAAGGAAAAATCACACGCCTTTGCTCAAACTTTCCTACTTCCAAGAGGCGATGGAGACTTACGAAAGAAAATCCATGTGGTACATGACTCCACTCAAGACCCTTTTGTCCTACAACTCCTTAAGGAAGTAAACAAGTTGAAGGCCGAACGACAAGCTGAGATACCTGATTGGAACCAACCTAGGCCTGGCCCTCTTACAAGGAGGATCTTCAACACCCCCTCCAAGCAAAGACAAAGCAGAAGCTTGGCTTGCAACTCTATACTGGAAAGGAATATCCGATTGAACACTTTAACCTCTTTAAGTCCACCATGGCATACCGGATGCACACCGATGAAGAACGATGTCTTCTCTTCCCCTCCACCCTCTCTGGCGGAGCTTTAAACTGGTATTGCCGTCTTCCACCTGAGACGGTAGACTCATTTGAGCAATTGAGGAAACTGTTTGTTTCTCAACATATTTTCCAGACCGATCGCTTGCACTCTGCGGATGACTTGTACACTATTCGCCAGAAGCCAGACGAGTCATTACGTATGTATGCTAGCCGCTTCAGCCATGAGTATTCTCGTTGTGCCGAGGCAAACGACAAGACTACCCTCAAAGCCTTCATGGCAGGCCTACGTGATTGTTTCTTCAAGTACATGATCAATGCCAACACTTGGAAGACTTACTCTGAGGTGATGGCACAGGCTTACAACCATGCCTCCGCTGAGGCAAGGACATATCAAAGGAAACCCCCCACAACCACCCCTTATCAGCAAGTAGGGAGTGGAAGCCAGATCCAACCAAATGAAAAGACCTCGACCTTCCAAACGGCAGCGGTGCCTCCCCCTGCCTTACTTAATACTTTGTCAAGTCAACAGACATATCAATCTCAGGGCAAAAGGAAAGATTTCCATCCTCACCAGTCTCATTTTAGTAAAAGGAGTAAGGGACACTACCGCGATAACCAAGGGTATCGCCACAATAATGCCCGTCCCCTGGCAGTCAACGTAGTGGGCCAAACACGTGTCAGGACAGGCCCTACCCCGAGGTATGAGACATACACGCCTTTAAACGCCACATGCGTGCCCATTTACCCCAGCATATCACACCTGATACCGAAGCCAATACCGAGGTATTCGGGTTATAAGCCCACGAAGAACATGGGCGCGTTTTGCTGCTACAACGAGCATAACGGCCATGACGGCGAGAAATGTATCACCCTTCGTGATCATATTGAAGCTTTGGCGCGTGAAGGAAAAATTGATCAATTCCTCATTCACCCTTCAAGGGATAACCGTAACCAACGTCAAGTGAATGTAATATATTCCATAAGCGGTGGCACACCCATATTTGAATCTTCCAACAGAGCCATGAAAAACAACGAACGAGTTTTAAGGCCTGGTCACCAAGTGTTTCACGTGGAAGACATCAGGGGAGGCAAGTGTTAAAAGCCTAACTGGGATCCAATATGTTTCTACCCTGAGGAAGAAAAAGATATCATCTACCCTCATAATGACCCACTGATCGTGGAAGCTCACATAGCTAACTTTGAAGTACAGCGAATCCTGGTAGACACGGGGGCTTCGGTCAATATCATGTTTGCTGAAGCTTTCAGGGCACTTAATGTAGCTGAACACTTGCTCGATCGCTCGATTTCCCCTCTGATAAGCACAACCCGCTGAAGAGTTAGAGAAGGTCTTTATCTCAAAAGATTATCCAGATCGCATGGTGAAGATTTGCACCACTTTGTCACCACTCATTCGGTTGGCATTGATCTCTTTTTTGCAAGAGAACACTGAGGTCTTCGCCTGGTCATACGAGGACATGCCAGGCATCTCTCCCGATATCATCTGTCATCGCTTAAGTCTTGACCCTAAGACCAAGCCAGTGAGACAGAAGCAAATATCCTATGACGCTAAACGGTACGAGGCAATGAAGGCAAATGAAGTTGAAAAACTCAAAGGCATAAGCTTCGTCCGCGAAGTCAATTATCCAATGTGGGTAGTAAATGTTGTCATTGTTAAGAAGAATCCGACCAAGGAAAGTCTCCTGCTCCAAAAGGTCTTGTGGAGAATGTGTGTCGATTACATCGACCTAAACAAAGGATATCCGAATGATATCTTTCCTCTTCCTCTCATAGACAGACTTATAGACTCTACGGCAGGGTGTGAACTTCTGAGCTTCATGGATACTTACTCAGGATACAACCAAATCCTCATGAACCCTCCGGACCAAGAACACACAGCCTTCACTACTGACAGGGGACTATATTGCTATAAAGTCATGCCCTTCGGCCTAAAGAATGCAGGAGCAACTTATCAGAGACTGGTCAATTCAATGTTCGCAGAACAGATTGGGAAGAGCATGGAAGTTTACGTTGATGATATGCTAGTCAAGAGCAAACATGCTGACCAACACATCACCAACCTATCTGAAACTTTCACCATTCTAAAGAGGTATCGAATGAGGTTGAACCCTAACTAATGTGCCTTCGGCGTAGGCTCTGGAAAATTCTTAGGCTTCATGATACGCCAACGAGGCATTGATGCTAATCCCGAGAAGATCAAAGCAATCCTCGACATGAAGGAACCGGTAACTTCAAAAGACATCTAGAGCCTTACTGGCAAGGTGGCAGCCTTAACTAGGTTCATCTCTAAAGCCACAGACAGATGTGCTCTTTTCTTCAAAACACTTAAAGGAAGTAAGAAGTACATTACATGGACTGATGAATGTGATGAGGCATTCAAGAACCTCAAATACTACATAAGTAAAACCCCTTTGCTCTCCAAACCTGAGGTTGGTGACACTCTCATTATCTATTTGTCGGTATCGGCTTCAGCAGTAAGTTCAGTTCTCATTCGAAAGGATGGTAATGTCGAACGGCTTGTACTACGCAAGCAAGGCCTTACAAGATGCAGAGGCACGATACTCTAACATTGAGAAATTGGCTCTAGTATTGGTCATGCCTGCTCGAAAACTTCGCCCATACTTCCAAGCACACTCCATCATCATTCTTACCAATCATCATCTTCGACAGATACTCCAAAGTCCTGACACTTCTGGGCGAATGATCAAATGGGTGATAGCATTGTGTGAGTTTGACATCTCCTACCAACCAAAGCTAGCTGAGAACGGTCAAGCAGTGGCAGACTTCATTGCCGACTTCACATATCCTGTTGACATTGTTTTTACACCTAAAAAAGTGGTTTCATTACCCTCGAGAGCTCAGAAAATAGAACCAACAGCCCCAGCATGGAGTCTATATGTTGATGGCTCGTCCAACCAACAGGATTGTGAAGCAGGACTAGTGTTTACGACCTCTGACAAAGTGGCGATGGAGTAT